ATAGAGATGAATACCCAAATTCCAATGTGCTCCAAATCACTAAATGTTCAGATTAAATGGAAGCCCTCGACCCACTCTATCTTTTTAATAAAGGATCTAAGGTAGACACTCACTCTAAGTAGATCAATCCTAAGAGAGAAGGTGTGTAGAGGGAGAGAGAACTCGTACCTAGGGTTTTGGAATCTGAAAGTGGATGAAAAACTGATCTGAAACACGCTGCTGCCTATTTAAACCTGACAGGCTCGCTCGAGCGAAGACTTGGTCGCTCGAGCGACCAGACACAGAAAAGCTACGCTCGAGCCAAGGAAATCTCGCTCGATCGAAGAACTCAAACCCTCAGGTCTGTAACCAGACACGCGCTCGAGCGAAGGAACTCTCGCTCGAGCGAAGAACGAACTATCTCGCTCGAGCGAAGAAAATCTCGCTCGAGCCAGAAACCACTGCTCTCAGGTCTTACTACAAAACGCAATCCTCGCTCGAGCGAAGAAACCCTGGCTCGAGCGACGGACCAAAACAAAGAGCTCGCTCGAGCGAATAACTGCTCGCTCGAGCGAAGGGTCAAAATTCTGGGCAGCAACCCTTTGCTCCCAAGCTCAACCAACCTGCTACAAAACCTGCCCATTGCATCCCCCAACTCAGAAATAGGAAATTAAAGGACGGTAACAATCATAATACAATGGCAGGAGCTACGGAACCTAAGTCCGAATACAATAATCAAATGGGAAAAGACCGGGGTCACTATAGATTATGAAATATTTTTGTTATCTTTCTATTTGAAATCCAAAAATTAATGGATAATTATTATTTCTAAAATAATTAAATAAATAAATCAGCCGATAGGTTTCTTTTAATCTATTTTATAAATTGAAAAATCAATAATTTTAGAATAAGAGTTTGGAGCTCGTAGGAGACTTCTCATTAGAAACCTCTTTTTCTTTATATAATATATAGATAGATAGATATAGATATAGATATTTAAATTTGTTTTATATATTTTTTTAATATACAAATTATTTTTTTTAGATTTTTTATAAAAATAGTTTAACAATCTCAACACTAATCATAGTGTGTGAGAGAAGTTGAAAAGAGTGCTGCAATAATTATGAGAAAAGTCAAAAAGGTTTGTGGGTTGAAAGAAAGCGATAAATGTTGATTTTTTTTTTAAATCAAAAAATTAGAAAATTAAGATTGAAATATTAGAACTTCCATAAGGTTTGTGGGTTAGAAACCTCATTTTCCTAATATAATATATAGATTTTATACCATATTTAAAAACTTTTCTATGATTTAAGCAATTTGTCTCAATTTGTAACATTAGTCAAAAACTTTTTTCATGATTTAAGCAATTTGTCTCAATTTGTATTATTAGTCAAAAAAAATTTCACGATTTCATGAAATTTGTTTCAAAATTACTACACAAAATTTCCATGGCTACGTGCTTCAATTATCTAGGGTTTTGGAGGGATTTTTCAATCTATTTTAGTGTACAAATACATCTTAAATTAGTGTAGATATTTTGTAGAAAATATTATTATAATGTATCGTACTTTTATATATATAAAGAAATGATTATTAATAAAGTATGAGGGTATGAGCTCAATTTACGAATTAGAATATTTATTTGAAGTGTAGAATTAATTAAATTAGTGATAGGAAAAATAATTCGGTTTAGATTTTTCATTTTCTAATTAAAAGACGATTAATCGAACGAACCTTACAAGAATTAGAAATCTAGGGCTTTGGGCGATTATTCTTCAATTAGAGGGTTAATTAATTATTATTAGGGTATTAGAAATGATTCTTAAGTTGTTGGGTTCAATTAGGGTTCATATGGTTCCGATCGGGACACGTTCTCATTCTAGATTTAAAATCGCAAGTAAATGAAGAATTAAGAGCTTTTATTATAATAACTCAAAAGTGAGGGCATTAATTTATAAATTGAAACATTTATTTAAATGCAATATTTAATTGAATTTAGATTTGGGAATTTAATTTGGTTAAAAGCTTCCTCGTTTTGAATTAAATGACGAATTGTAATGAGAACCGGACACTTAAGATTTTGTGCGGTAAACCTATAATTAGGGAGTTAATTGATTATTATTATGGCTTGGGAAATGATTTATGAGTTTCCAGGTTCGATTAGGGTTTGGAATTTTTTGGTTAGCGCATGTTTCCAACTCTAGAGCTAAAATTGAATTTAAATTGAAGATCTTTATAAAAATAATTCAAAAGTAAAGATCTAAACGAAATTACAAAAATCGGGACCTCATATCATGCCAGCAATGCGTACGAGGGGACGATATTTGTGGCAGATCAACATCTTCTATATCCCTGCATTGATCCTGTGCCACCAAAGCCACTAAGGATCCTCTAGAGTTTTTTTTTCCTAAAGTTTTCTAAAGTGGTGTGTTGTATGGGTGAGATTTAATGCTAAAAAATTGATGTGACTTGTCATTAAATCTCAACCATACAACACACCACTCTAGGAAACTTTAGGAAAAAAAAACTCTAGAGGATCCTTGCTCCACCAAAGCGCACTCAAGGCTCACCACTACATCAGCCATTGTAGGACGTCCATTTGGCTGATTATGTAAACATTTTTTAGCAACTTTTGTGAACACCTTCAGGCAATGCGGCGAGATTTGGTACTTTATACTAGGGTCAATGATCTGACCAAGTTTCTTCTTCTTGATACAATGTTGAGCCCATAGGGCTAGACTGCATTGTTCTTCCTCAAGTCTCATATCGACTGCGGGCCTCCCACAAAGCACTTCCAACAACACGACACCGAAGGCATACACATCTGATTTCTTGGTTAGCCGACGAGTCATGAAATACTCTGGATCCAAATAACCAAATGTGCCTTTAACATCTGTGCTAACATGGGTGCCAAAATCGCTTGTGATGCCCATTTTGCACAAACCAAAATCTGAAATCTTAGCCACCCAAACCTTATCCAATAGAATATTTGTGGTCTTCATATCTCGGTGTATAACACCTTGCTGAGTACTCGTGTGAAGGTAATCCAATCCACGTGCAACACCAATGCAAATGTTGAGTCTTTGTTCCCATGACATATGACAAATATTTCCACTGGTATTAATTTTGTAGAGATGATCAGCAAGGGTACCATTCTCTATATACTCATAAACAAGGATCATCTCATCGCCTTCTTCGCAATAGCCTATAAGACTGACAAGATGATTGTGTCGAAGCGTGGAAAGCATCTCGATCTCTGTCCAAAACTCATGTGCACCTTGCTTAGACATTGAATTCAACCGCTTTATAGCGACAGTGGTTTCCTCACCATCGATGAATCCTTTATAGACTTTACCAAATCCACCACTTCCAATGACCATTTCATCATCGAAGTTGTGGGTCATAGATTGAATCTCAGCAAGAGAGAAGCGACGACACAATCCGTCAGACGGTAATGATGAAGAAGATTTGATCTCTGTGAGTGAGAATTGTCCGCAGAGATTAGACGGCAGTGATGAAGCGTTGGTCTTCGTGGGATTTGACCTGTGCGAAAGCCAAAATTGGACACATGATGACTTGACCACGCTTGCACCGGAGTCTCTTACCCTCCTCGAACGCCGGAAAATCAAGAAACCAATCACTGAAATCAAGAATACTCCGCCGATTACACCTCCGGCGACGGCAAAGACCCACGACAACGATGTTTTACTATTCTGTTTGCCCGGTAGCTTTGGATACGGTGCGGGTGGTGCAGGAACCATAGCGTATTCAGGATTGGGCCCGGCGAGACTACCGTCCGATTGACTCAATTTGAAGATCTCTAAACCGTTCAAGATTGCATCAGCGTACATGGGCCTGGTGTCCACATTCGCGTGTATCGCGAGCCACAAATCCACCTTACTCCGGAGACCATCGACGGCTGGGATCAAAAGAACATAATCTTTGAAAACAGGAATTCCGCGACCCCCACTCAAGTGTATAACATCAACCTCTTGATCAGCCGTCTGATTATTCATATACACAGAAAATATCCTCTCATTTTCTTTGGTTACCTCCAATTGAAACTCGCAAAAATGAAGCCTAGCCAGGTACCGGAACCCAGAATCAACGGTGAAGGTCCAAGTCAAATTGTACTGCAAGTTTATATGTGGGTCCCTTCCCATGGTCCGAGCCGAAGTGTACACAGTCGCCGGAGCAGTGTAATTCGATGTCTCGTTAGTGTACCGAATTGGAACGTCAAAATGAGGAGTCAAACCAAAGGCCGCGCCATATATATACGGGTCATCTTGATGCCACGTCCGGTACAGGCCAGTATCGTCATTCACAGATAAGTCTTTGCCACCGACGTTTAACCGGTACAGAGTTTCAAGAGCAGTGTTGTTGTCGATATAGAAATATTGTTGAGAGCCAACCAAAGGGATACTATTGAGATCGCCTTTCACGTAGAAATTGTTGGGAATCGAAACGACTTCGATGCCGTTGATAAAGGCGTATGAGTTGGGAGATGGGTCGAATGTTACGTCAAGCTTTTGGGTGTCTCTGACATTGACAATGAACTCTTTGACGAGATAGGATTTTTGAGGAACCAAAGCAGAGACGGTGAGGAAGGCACTGAAGTTGGTTAGGAGGGTGTAGTTTGCGGCGGTGACGGAGAAGTAAGAGTTTGATCTGTTGAGATTTGAGAAGGTGGCTGGGTTGAAGTGGAGGCGGATGAATTTGGGGCCATCGGATACGTTGAAGGTGTAGGTGAATTTGGAGGTGGAGATAAGGGCGGTGAGGAAAGGGATGTCGTTGATGGAAGGGTCTAGTTCGGTGGCTGTGGATAGTGATGAGGTGGTGCCGATGTTGGACTCTGACAATTTTGACTTGGCATGACCGTCCCAGATCCGGCCGTCTTGCGACGTAGCATTGGAGGATGAGCCGCAGTTGACGAGGAAGTAATCGATGGGTGTGTAAGGCGGAGTTGCGTCTGCGGCGGTGAAGGAGAGGAGGTGGAGTAAGGAATAGAGGTAGAGAGCGAAGGTGAGCATGTTGGTGCGGGGGGTTTGAAGATTCAAATGTTTGACGTATTGTCAAGTCCAAAATGGAGGCTGAGGTGATGAGTTTTTTCAATTTAAGTTGGATGCTGAGGGTTTTTTCATATTAAGCTAAATTATCATCTTAACTCTTAAATTAGGTTTAATTTAGACAGAATTTTTAAATTAGACTAAAGCACTATTACAAATCATGCTTTACTGTTTGGAGTAGAAAATTTGATGAATAGTGAAAGCGCTATTAGAAACCGCGCTTTTAATTAAAAAAATGTTGTTACAAACTACGCTTTTAACATAAATTTGTTTTCTGAAGAAAACGTGGTTCCAAACCACGCTTTCACTGTGCATATTGTTTAATTTGTTTTCTGAAGAAAACGTGGTTTCAAATCACGCTTTCACTGTGCTTTCACTATGCATATTGTTTAATTTATTTTTTGAAGAAAACGTGGTTTCAAACCACGCTTTCACTGTGCATACAATTTAAGTTTGTTTTCTGAAGAAAACGTGATTGTGAATCACGGTTTCACTGTTCACTACAATAAGCGTGGATTGAAACCACGCTTTTACTGTTCATTTAAAATTTATTTTATTTTATTTTATTAATTTTTTTTTAAAATTTTTTTTTTCTATTGTCATTGTTTTGGTGATAATGTAATTCATAAATTTTTTTTGGCTTTTCTAAAGCCGTTCTCATGTTAATTTTTTTTTTCTTTTGTCTTTATTTTGGGTTAGAAGATGTAATTCAGGAATTTTTTTTAGCTTTACTCAAACCGTTTTCATGTAATTTTTTTTTTCTTTTGTCTTTGTTTGCGTTAGAAGGTGATAATATAATTCAGAATTTTTTTTTGGCTTTACTAAAGCCGTTTTCATGTAAAAAATTTTTTTTTTTTTCTTTTGTCTTTGTTTTGGGTTAGAAGGTGTTATTCAGAAATTTATTTTGGCTTTACTAAAGCCATTTTCATTTAAATATATATATATTTTTTCTTTTGTTTTTGTTTTGGGTTAGAAGATGATAATGTAATTCAGAAAACCAGTTTAGTAAAACCGTTTTCTAGCCGTTTTCATTAAAAAATTTTTTTTTTTTTCTTTCGTCTTTGTTTTGAGTTAGAAGGTGATATACATGGTCTATAGTCCTAAGCACACCCAAACACTATGCAGTTCGACGAACAACGACGAAGGGTGAGACGCGAAGAGCACCGCGGAGTAGGCCAAGAAGATGAAGGCCACCGCGAGAGCTGCAGCAAGAAGGAAGAAGAGAATGACCTCAAATTTTGGTGATGTATTTTTTATATATGAATGGTACTTTTTCCGTTTTTTGCTATGTAATGTAACTTGTATGTAATTTGAATTCCGATTACGAACATGAACTTATGTAATGTAAATATTGGGTTGGAGTTGATGTTATTGTGATTCAATTGGTTTCGCTTATTTCATAAGACTAATGTTGCGCAATGAATGAATGAATGGAAAGATTATTTGTTTTATTCAATTGGTAGTGTATTTTTTGTAAGAATGATAACGTTATTTGTTATATTCAATGAATAATGGTTACATTTTTGGGTTGTCACGATTGAGAAGATGAACAAGTTAAGAGAATGTGTATTTCTCCTAAAATAAATTTTGTCAATATTTTTGTAATAAAACTTAATACATAATGTACGAAGTCACTAATTTACTAAATACTCATACAGGCATGAAAACAACATAACTGAAGTTGCAAATGTAATAGTTTCCAGTTACATAGGTAGTACAGACATAAGTCTCCCACAAAAATACATTCCGAATACCATGAACTGAACACACAATACATACATCCTGGACACCCTGAACTGAACACACAATACATAAACATAACAGTTAGACAGACAACTATTAGGCAGACAATCTGACAAACTCATTACGGAAACACTTAGTCTAATACAGACATTACATATTAATGCATGACCTAATATTGCCGAAGTGTAGACATTAACACCTAATTCGCGCTTAAATCGGCAATCTCAAAGTCTGAATAATCCAAAAGCTCAGCGTCAGAGACAAGTTCAGGATCTTCCATGATACCCTTGATTGCCACAACATTTGGTTCTGTTCTGTTCTTTTGGGCATCCTTCTTAACTATGAATAGTTGCATATCGCGGGCTAACCTACGGCGCATTTGAGAAATCTCACGTTGTAGTCTTTTACATAGTCGATCAACATTATAAGGATCTTCCTTTTGGATCTCAACAAAACGTGCTTTTGGCACCTTAAGTTGATTTTCTCGACTTAAGGTTTTCAACTGTACCCGCTCTATAAATAGTGCGAGCCACTTGAGACGAGCAACGTCAGACAAACCATATCCTGTTTTATTGTCAGATGGGTCCATACATGAACCTCCTTGAACTCGATAATACTTGGGCATCAAAAAATATCACTTCCCAAACCCATCACGATAACCACAAGCATGATCTAAAACAGGTATTGTTGTTTCGTCTTCAGCATTGCAACGTCCCCTTCCCCCTCCTCGTCGTGAACTGTCACCCCTTTGCAAGTTCCTACCACCTCTGCAATTCCCACTCCCTCCCATGAATCGTGTAGCCATGTTAATTTTTTTAAACAAATGAATGATAATTTCGTAGGGCGAAATGAGTTGTAAGATTGTGTCTTCACTTTTAGTCGTTTAAATAGTTGGTTATGAACGGCTTTAGAAAGATGCCTCTGCATCACAATCCCACATATACGAACAAGGTATGAGTTGTCACTAGAATGACAAAATAGAGAAAAGAAAATACTATGTACCAAGTCACGTGACTTGACAATCCATCTACATATACCGACAAAATAAGGACATGCTCACTGTAAGGTAAATTAGTGAATTTACTGTTGCCATGTGACTTTCTGAATTAACAATCCCACATATATCAATAAGAGATGAGTTGTCACTGTAATCAGAAAACAGAGAAAAGCAATGCATGTGCACCAAGTCACATGACTTGACAATCCATCTGCATATACCGACAACATAAGGGCATGCTCACTGTAAGCTAAATCAGTGAATTCACTGTTGCCATGTGACTTTCTGAATTGAAAATCCCACATATATAAATAAGAGATGAGTTGTCACTGTAATAAAAAAATTGAGAAAACCAAAGCTTGTGCACTAAGTCAAATAGTGATCCTCTAGGTAAAGAATTTTTACAATTGATTAATTACATATTCAATTGCATATCAGAATTTTCTCATAATTTTTGGGAGTCAAAATCTATATTAACTGGTGCATTCAAATATGTCCAGAAAATTGGTGTTAAACAGTAATTTCGGAAGTGTTTGGATATAAATTCAGAAAATCTCAAATCAGCGTCATTAGAACTGCTTAGAAGTCTAGTTTCTTACATTTTTGGCCTTGCGTTGATTGCTATTCTATACAAAGAGAATCGTCAATTTCTTTAAAGAGGTGCGTAACACAATCTGTTTCGGTATAATTAATTGTAAATAAATATTTTGACAAGCAAAGCAAGTAAAACCAATTGGATTTTAAACTTAGTCCCTCAATTGCACCAACCACTTGGCTTTGAGCTTGTTTGTCTAGTCCTCAAGTTTAGTTTTCTGTCAACCCCCCATTCCTTACCAGGGTCATCATGTTGACTGGACTTCCAGGAATTGGAAAGCGACTCTTTCTTCTTTCCTGATGGAGATTGAAATTCTTTACCTAGAGGATCACTATTTGACAAGCCCCAGTTAAGGGAAGCTTTTCACCGAGCTACTTGTTCTGTTTTATGTGTTGTTGAAGGCGATAGTTCGTTTGTCTGAACTTTATTAGTCCCCCAACTAGACCAACCACTTGGCTTTGAGCTTGTTTGTCCAGGCCCCAAGTTTAGTTTTCTGTCAAACCCCCATTCCTTACCAGAGTCATCATTTTGACTGGACTTTCAAGAATTGGAAGGCGACTCTTTCTTTTTTCCTGATAGAGATTGAAATTCTTTACCTAGAGGATAACAATTTGACGAGCCCCAGTTGAGGGAAGCTTTTCACCGATCTACTCCCATTCTGTTTTATATGTTGTTGAAGGTAGTAGTTCGTTTGTCTGAACTTTATTAGTCCCTTAACTAGACCAACCACTTGGCTTTGAGCTTGTTTGTCCAGCCCCCAAGTTTAGTTTTCTGTCAACCCCCCATTCCTTACCAGAGTCATCATTTTGGTTGGACTTCCAAGAATTGGAAGGCGACTCTTTCCTCTTTCCTGATGGAGATTGAAATTCTTTACCTAGAGGATCACTATTTGACGAGCCCCAGTTAAGGGAAGCTTTTCACCGAGCTACTCCCAATCTGTTTTATGTATTGTTGAAGGCAGTAGTTCGTTTGTCTGAACTTTATTAGTCCCCCAACTGGACCAACTACTTGGCTTTGAGCTTGTTTCTCCAGCCCCCAAGTTTAGTTTTCTGTCAACCCCTCATTCCTTACCAGAGTCATCATTTTGACTGGACTTCCAACAATTGGAAGGCGACTCTTTCTTCTTTCCTGATGGAGATTGAAATTCTTTACCTAGAGGATCACTATTTGACGGGCCCCAGTTAAGGGAAGCTTTTGACTAAGCTACCTGTTCTATTTTCTGTACTGTTGAATACGGTAGTTCCTCTGTCGTAACTTTATTAGTCCCCTAATTAGACCAACCACTTGGCTTTGAGATTGTTTCTCCAGCTAAAAATTTTGTCTCTCTCTCTCTCTCTCTCCCGGGTTAGGTTTCATAAAATACTCTCATAAAAATTATAAAAAAAATTATTACCACAAATTTTTAAAATAAGTTTAAGTTTTTTTAAATGTCTTCATAAACATCTAACATGTAAATATTTGTTTGAAATACTTCAAAAGTTTATAAATATGTCAAGAAGATGATTGGTTGATAATTAAATATTATCTGATTATCAACCAATCATCTTCTTCACACATCACTGAATCTATAAAGTGGGTACAAAAAATGGAGTTGTATATCATGTTTGAAAAAATAAATAAATAAAAATAACCTTAAGTATTCACATAATTCAACATGCATTAATCCATTCATTAATCCAGAACATTCATTAACTCATTGCAATTCAATAAAGAAAGTCATGAACTAATAAAGAAAATACTTATAAATCTAGTTATTTCATAAACTTCAGGTTCATATAACAAATACTTGAAATACATCGGTAAGTTAGATGAACAACAACATTGTCTTACGCTCTAGTAACGAAGATACGACACAGCATACAAACATATATGAAAGATAAAGGTGTTTGATTTCTCATTCCTTATCTGACATGTAGTAGTCAGAGAGATATTTTTCATTGTTTAAGACATTATTTTGCTCAATCACTGTCAAATCTCTGTTACTTGCTTCTGCCATTTCGGTGGCTAGCTGAAGGATGAAATGTCGACATCTCTGCATCAACATCATGTTGTTCTCCTTCTTAATTCTGCTAACTGCTTTTTCATAGTCCACTACAACAAATTTGGGATTTAAAAACTAAACAAATTTGTCCTAAAATGTATATATTTCGTCACTCAAACTAATTATGACGAAAAGTTTTCGTCACCCGTTTTGTCGCCAAAGCGTCGTCGCTAAAAGGTCTTAGAGACAAAAAAACAAATTCGTCTTTGAAAATGATAAATTTGTGACAAATTTTTTTGTCTCCAATACACTCTGTTGGGAATATACTTGTAAGTAATTAACGACAAAATATTTTTTCATTAAAAAAAGAAATTAGAGACAAAAATATTTTGTCATAAATATAAGAAATAGAGACGAAATAATTTTGTCACGTTTAATATAAACGAAGACGAAAAATTTTTGTCAAAGAAGTTACTAATAGAGACAAAAACAAATTCATCATTAAAAATGATAAATTTGTGACGAATTTTTTTGTCTCCAATACACTCTGTTGGGAACATACTTGTAAGTAATTAACGACAAAATATTTCGTCATTAAAGAAATAAATTAGAGACGAAAGTATTTTGTCATAAATATAAGAAATAGAGACGAAAAAATGTTGTCACGTTTAATATAAACGAAGACGAAAAAAATTTGTCAAAGAAGCTACCAATAGAGACAAACAAATTCATCATTAAAAATGATGAAATAATGTCAAAAAAAAATCGTCACACATTTACGGTAATAGTGACAAAATGTGGCTATTTTTCGTCATGACAAATTCATTTAGCGACGAAATAAAGAATTCATGACAAAATTAATCTTCTACCTAAGCCAAATAAGAGACGAAAAAACCTTCTTTAGGGATAGAAAATTTTGTCACTAATTCCATAATATTTTTTTCCACATTATATACCTATTTTATCAAAATCTGAATTTTAGTTCAACAAATATAACCATGTTCATGTTGAAACCTGTTGAATATAACTCCATTCACAACTTAACTTAACCTAACATGTCATCAACACATTTATGAATTAACAAAATGAAAATATCCATTCATCATTACAAATAATTTCATCCTAATACAATAAAATAGTGCAATATCCACAAAATATCCAAAAGTTATAACTTGTACAATTCCACCAAGCATCTAACAATAGTTAGTGCAACTCCACAAAGTATGTGTATCCTTATCAAACAAAATGAACATTCAAGCAAATTACATCATTGTTGCACGTCAAAAATGTCACCCCAATCCAATCTGCAAAAAAATAAATTAAAAGCTTTAGTAATTAATTAATTATACAAAAGATTAAAAACATTAGTAACTCATCAATTTACAATTAGATCAATTATATAATTTATCCCTCTAACAGACTTTTTTTCGAGATTATGAGAACAAAAAATTAATTTTAAGGCTAATTCACAAATGGTGCATCCCATTAATGTGCCGTAAGTTTACACAACTTATATTGGTCCCTCCTAAGATGTTTCTGTTGGTTCCTGTACAAATTTGTGGTTGTGTGATAATTTAGCCTTTCGACGGCCTTTTTTGAAACTTTAAGTATAGAGAAAAAGAAATATTTTTTAGACTAATTCGCAATTTATATATCCCGTGCACCTGTATAAATTGGATGTCCTATGCATGTTTCCATTACTTTCTAATTTTTCAAACATATATTCTTTTATAAAATTTGTTATATTAAAGTTAATATACTTTACCAAGAAGTATGTCCACTTGTGGATGAGTCCCCCCCACTTCCAAAGTGTCCAATGAATCCTTTGGTCCTCAAAAAGTTGACAACATCAGCCATTATCTCCCCTTGCTTCTTCCTACTCTTTGGTCCTCAAAATTAGTTTGTCTAGAATGAAATCCGGCTCTAACTCCCAAATCGAGAACCCGATTCGAGTCCTAGCTTCTCCCACAAGTCTCTCGTGCCTAAGCGGTCATGTGTGCCAAGTTTTATACTAATCCGACACCGTTTGGTGATTTTGAGGTGTCAACACCTCGAATTCTAAGTTTCTTAAAGAATTAATTTGCCTAGAATGAAATTCGGCTCTAACTCCCAAACCAGGAACCCGATTCGAGTCTCGTCTTCTCCTACAAGTCTCTTATGCCTAGGCGGTCGTGTGTGCCAGATTTCGTGCTGATCCAGTGCCATTTGGTGATTTTGGGACGTCAACACCTCGAATTCTAAGTTTCTTAAAAAATTAGTTTGCCTAGCGTGAAATCCGACTCTAACTCCTAAACTAGGAACCCGATTCGAGTCCCGACTTCTCCTACAAGTCTCTCGTGCCTAGGCGGTCTTGTGTGCCATGTTTCGTGCTACTCCGATGTCGTTTGGTGATTTTGGGGCGTCAACACCTTGAATTCTAAGTTTTTTAAGGAACTAGTTTGCCTAGCGTGAAATCTGGCTCTAACTCCCAAACCGGGAACCCAATTCGAGTCTCGTCTTCTCCCACAAGTCTCTCGTGCCTAGACGGTCGTGTGTGCCAAGTTTCATGCAACTCTGACGCCGTTTGGTGATTTTTGGGCATTAACACCTTGAATTCTAAGTTTCTAGGGATGATTGATCAACTCTCCCTCCCAATCCACACTTGTTAAGCCATATTTTCGCCTGTGCAACAAGCTTCATTTCAAGAAGAAACATGTAGGGCCATTTTAGAACCTTATCCAATAGCAAAGTATTCTTCGGTTTTCTATACAACTTCTAAAACAGTTTTTCCAAATATTAGAAGTGAAAACTGTTACCTGTTATTGCATGCATTATCAATTTAGCATAATTTGAATCAAAAGCACTGAAGTGAACATATGCATTAATGGATAGATAAATAAATACATGCATAAATGCATTCTTGTGAAAGAAAATAGAAAGCAATTTAACATTTTCTGTTGCAGCTTGTTCAATCAATGCACAGCCCAGATCAAGTTTATCATTAGTAACAAGTTGCACAACTTGTTCAAGTTCACTTGCAATATTTAAACCCTAAAGCAAATTCCGAAGCTGACTTGATATTGAGCCACATAAGGGTTCCTATCAGTAATCACACCAGGTAACAAAGGCAAACAAACATAAGATTCTAATCAGATAAGAATGCTATATTTTCAGATAACAAAACAGGACAATAGAACAACAAAAGAGATCTCCAGTTTGAGATGAAACCTTGCATGTTACATGAGCTAAACTTCCAGCCAAACTGGCAACCATCAAGTGTGCTGCATTACGTATGCGTGTCTCATCTAACTCCATGGCATAATCCTACAATTGCATTGTTATTCTCTAGTAAGAAAGCAACTAATAACAAATTACCCTATGCATGAAATAATAATAATAATAATAATAATAAGAAGAAGAAGACCGTTAAAACAAGTTCTTTTGTTGTTTGAGTTGCTATAAAAACAAGTTCTTTTGTTGTTTAAGATTCCAAAACAAGTTTTTGCTTGGTATTTTATAAGAACAGCTCATTATTTAAGTTTTAAACACTCAGTCCACAGCTAAGAGCATTGACAACATGCAATGTGGTCAAGTCTAAAAAAATTCTACATTCACCTTATGGTTCAGGGGCTTCCAGAGAAGGTCATTGGCAGTTGTAACAGCCATTTGACCAACACACACAACCAACAAATCATCAACTTCCTTTATAAATGGTACACTTGTATATTCTTCCAAACAAAGCCATGTAGAGTTTTCATTTTTAGAGTAAAGGATTTTTTTTGTGAATATGCAATACAGCTACGTCAACTTTAGTAAACATTAAAGAGGAAAATAACAAACATTGGACTCCTTGTAGACCATAGTGTGAGGTAACCAACAAATAGACCAAGGTGAAGCTGACGAAAATAACTGTGGCACATGAGCAAAGAAGCAACGAAAACTATGATTTAAGTTATTAAGAAATTTCCTAACAGAAAATTAGAAAACATCTTAATATTGAAATTAATTAATCAAACTGAAGGCCAAACAAGAGAAGGCAGAACCGAAAATTGAAATTATCAAACATGACAATAGTTCAATAATATACTACAAAACATCCATTAATCAAGAAATCACTCTTTGCAAAGTATTATGGACACTATATGGTCAAAGCTGATTCATATATGTCAAGCACACAAGTTACATACAAAAAGTGATTGCTCGAAATGGCTCGAATTTAGTTTTGCACGCAACTTGCTGCTACTGTGCAATACACCCACACTTTTCATTTCAAAAACAAACCCAAAAAAAAAAAAAAAGAATAGAGTAGAGAATAGAGAGAGATGGGCACTGTGTCTTCCTAAAACCTAGCGGAACCGTCTCTGTGTTCCGCCGCTGCTGTTGTTTGATCGAAGTGGAAGAGGAGGAGCTTTGTGTGCCACTGCTTGATCGGATTTATTTCCCCTTGTGTCATTGCTCTTCCATTGCTCGGTCCATTGTGGCTTCCATGGCTGCTAGCTACTGTTAAAACTAGTACTATCATCAAACTAATTAAGATAATGGTGAAAACTAGAGCTACGTCCCCAAAAAAATTAGCACTTTGAGCATTATTTGAGCCTTTGTTTCTGATCTGTCCATGGCCACTGATGGTGAACTATGATCTCATTTGGTAGGCCTCTACTTTCTTGCACAGAGAGGATGGCGCCACTAGTACGTCGAATGTATGCAATATTTTCCCCTCCAATCCCAATTATGTCCTCCGCATAAGAAAGTGGTATTTGCAGTGTTTGTGCAATCTAATTAAGCAAAGAACCAACTAATCAAATTATGATTCCAAGATCAAATAATACAAATAACATAAAAATTAAAATTAAAATGAAGTGGAAATTATTGAATTCCATAAATACAGTGGCAGAGGCCTTGCTGTTATTTGAATTCTTGTTTGAGGTTTGGAGAAATTACAACTAGTTCCATGATTTGCACATAAATTGCATTACAACTTGATCCAAATTGTTACTATTCCATTGATCTTAGGAAAAGGATGATATCAACAATTTTTATGTTAAAATGCTTATTTTACCTTTGGTTCCAACTATTAACAATATCCAAACAAGCACATTCCACATTTGAATAGTTTTATACCTAAAACCAAACACATTTTCATTATTTGTTGCATTTTTTATCTGAGTTTTTCACTTTAAATAATAGACATAACCAATTGTAACAGAGACCTAGACAACAGAAATCCAATTACCGGAGACGTTGCTACCAGCCGATTGCTGCTGCCACCAACCCACCACCAATGCTGCAGCCCAACTAGCCCATCAATGCCTCTGCCACACCCAACCTAACGCCACCCCACCCTTCTCTCCCTACTCTCTCTCTCAGACGCCATGTCCAAAAGGACCACCCCATCTTCTCCACCTCTCTTCCTCTTTCTCTCCCTCTCCCTCTCCCTCATCTATCATCCCTTCTTACTCTTTTTGTTTTGTTTTGTTTTGTTTGTTTGTTTTTTGGAATTAAGTATACACATTACACATTCCATCTTAATGCAGACCAAAATCCACATCAACCCAACTAACAAAAACCTAGAGCTTGTTAAACATTATCACTAAAGTTCACAACATAATACTACAAAACCCATTTAACATTTTTCCCAAAGATAAAATAACAATATTGTCAAAATTTTACACAATCATAAATAAAGCCTTAAATCAGATGCCACAATCATGTGAAAATTTTATTTAAATCATTGTCAGAACAATTGGGCCCGTTTGGAAACTTAACTATTTTAGTTGGTTTTTTGACTATTTTATGAGATGGAAAAAAGTTGTGTTTGGGATGATTTATGGAATTTTTTTTTGTAGTCAAATAGATGGTTGTGAGAGAAAAAGTAATTGATTCATGGGTAGGATCTGACATTTTGTCTTTATTGGTTACTTTAGCCAAAAAAGCAAATATATGGCCATTCTGTAGCCTAGCTACCTCATTAGACTTCCAAAACTTGAGATAAACAAAACAGAAAGGATTGGAAATGTGCACCACATCACAGCAGTTAATATCTAAAGTGAAATGTGAATTAATATCTAAAGTGAAATGTGAGATAACACTAGTAGAGAAATGAATAATTGAAACCAACCTGGGTAACAAAAGAACCACCAGCACGACCAAGTCTCGAAGAACGCATTCCTGAAAGTCCAAGATCTTGGCCATACAGCGAAATTCCAGAAGAATGGATATTTGATTCAAACTGGGTTTCACGATCGTGAAATAGAGGATCTTTCTTCACTGCAAGAGGATAATCATCACCCATCCCAGTTTGAGAAGTACTATGCAGCAATGACTTCTCAGCCCAGGTTTCTACTTGGCGTTCCTGTGAGGTTGGTGTATTGTACTGTAGAAAAAGGCAAAACAACAGTAAGTTCCCAATGTCATAATCTATTACTTCGTAAACCTTCAGAGGAACAGGACTCACACTCTTTTTAAATAGGGGAAGAACGCTTTGGTCCACCAAGAACTTCCTTAAGTGGCCCACCACAGCTTCCATAGCTTTAAGAACCTTCAGAGATTCTCCCTGCATCTCAACAATCCTCTCCTCTGAGTTCGCATAATGTGGCACCTCATCTGCCAGAAGAAAATATTAACCGACCTAGTCATCAGTATGCAAACATACAACAGAGAAAGAAAGAAAAAGGGAGCTTAAAGTAATTAGAAAGCAAAAGTCCAATAAGAAAAATACCTGAAACCATTTTAAAGCACAAAACAAAAATGTTTTCATATAAATGAGGACCTATTTAGAGTGTTTGGAACTATGTACATCAATAGGCATCAAATATTCTCCATCCATAGATAATATAATGCCCAGGATGACTAGCTTTATAATATCTCCGCCAGACTTCTAACACCAACATCTAAGACTGCATACATGTGGTTGGCTGATTTTGACTTTGCTGAGTTGAGTAGCTTTTTCATATTTAAATAGCATTACGTTTTTCTATATTCCTTGTAATTTTTGGTGCTGCAACAGACAATGTATGCTTCTACTGAAAACTGAAAAGGAAAGGCATTCTAATCCATTGGTGAAACTCCTAATCCAAAGTCTTTAACGAATCCAAGTACAATTAAGGCCCAAACCTCTTTCCATTCTAATATTTCTAAGCTCAAGATTAGCTCTCATTGTTATGATGGATTTCAACCACAAATAATGAGGGAGGATGCTTGAGTTAGAAGCAAATTGTACAAGTGGCTAGGAAGGTGTTTGAATTGAAAGGCATGGATAACATTTTAGAAGATTAGACTTCTCCAGTAGTGAATTAGCCAGTTTTAATGGAGAAGAAGGATAGAGGCTTAAATATTTACTGGAAGGAGAAAGAAACTAAAAGACTTCCATGTTTCATTATTATGATGGTAAGAAGGGGTGTGAGCCTTTAAGGGAGGTGTGGACTGAAGAAAGCTGTTAGTCCTTTATTTGTCTTCATGGAGGAGTTGGAGAAGAATCCATTTATTTTTTGTCATTGTTATTCGTAAGTTGAAAGGAGAAAAAATGAAAATCATGACACATGATGATAGAGCTTCCTTTGTAAATTTAGCACTAGTTTGAATTTTATTTGTTGGTTATTGATTTTTTGTGGCTGCTGGTAATCGGGATTTGGTTATTTCTATTTTATGCACTTTTTTTTTCTTCTTTCTTTTTTTCTTTATTTTTCGGATGTGTAAAGGTTGTGCACCCTCTATACAATTTACTTTCGTTGCTGATTAAACAAAATCATTCCAACTGTAAATCAAGTAAATCAAACAGAATAAAGCCATGAATCAATGGGCAGCATAGTAAACTTTCAAAAATTAATAAGCTAGTATAATCATGAAAGGGAAAAAATGATGTGAACAAAAAATTGTCAAGTGTAAATTCATAAATTCAATCTAGCATAAGACCAATAAGGCTAATAATTTCCACCAAATCGAAAGGCAACATTGTAGATGATGCACATGGAAAAAAAATCCAATAATAGTAAACAATTTAGTAGCTTTTGAAGCAACTAAAGCATACCACTTGAGAGAACCCGAATGGAGGCACCGGTGCTTTCCTGTATTGACTTGATTGAAGAGCCTTGCTTTCTAATTAGATTAATGGCTTGCGTGGATGCCACCAAAAACTGGATTGAACAAAATGCAGCTCCAGGCACTTTACGATCACCCTCACTCTCAGGTAGTCCATTGACACGTTTGAATACTCTTATTACAGCATCCATTGCAGGGTGATAATGGTGACTCCAGTTCTTCCTTTCCAGATATTAGAACCTGTTAGTACAGGAAAAATAATTCAGTTGGAAATTAGAATGGAATGCCTGAACAGGAAACAGAAACATATGCAAAAATAAACAAGGTTTTCGTGAAATCAAAGCTCATAATATCAGAGCAACATACAACTATAATAGAAATTTCAGTACGCTCACTTCTATTATCCAGTTACTGAACTGAAAGTTGCAAGTTGCATTGCAATCATCAAATTCAAGACATAATTATCTTAATAAAAGACCATGTTGGTGCAAAAACGCTGCTTAAGTTCCATTTTGCATAGTTGAGGGCCATGAGGCAAAAACTAAGCAAAAAGACACATAATTGTTATTAAGAAAAAGAAGAACTCACATGTCCAAAACTTTTTTAAACATTCTAATTCTCTCTCTTTCTCCCTGATTTGACTGATCACTGATCACGATTGACACCAAAATACAGTATTTTTACATTCATATGTTCAGTATTATAGTGATTTTAAACGGTATAATATTCAAATTAAAAAATTTCATGTAGAACAAAAATGAAGGTGAAAAGAAGAAATTCAAAGAGTAAATTAAGCAAACACATATATAAACCATGAAACAAAGGAGGGAGCTTTTACTTGAGGGAGTTGAATTTGGATATTAAGAGCAAATTTGGAGATCACATAGGGTCATCGACCTAGAGCATGAGATTCAAGCCTTGAAGATAAAAAAATAAAACATAAATAAATAAAGTGTGAAAGAGAGAGAGACAAGAGAATACATACCAATGTTAGGGTTTACGAGGGCAACAACTTGCTCAGCAAATTTGAGCTCTCTAGAATCCCTGGTTCCTTAGAGCTCTCTAGAATCCATGGTTCCTTATATTATAGTGTGCTTCAACATTGATGCTATGCAGATTCGACCTCTTGCCGGTAGAGGAGTTGCAATGAAAGTGAGATGAGTAGCGCGAAGATGGAGAGAGAGAGAGAGAGAGAGAGAGAGAGAGAGAGAGATTTGAACGTGAAAATGAGAGAAGAGGGAAAAAGAAATCATACGCGCCAAAGGGTTTGAGGAAATTTGGAAAAATTGAGGATTTTGACTATTTCTAAGAATATATATTGATCACACTATGGGATTTTATTTATTTTTTTGTTAAAATAATTTTTTTTTTTGTAATTAATGCAATTTTTTTCTTTTGATTTTTCATTTTTTTTAGTTACTAAGGTTGAAAATTTATTTGTTTCATTTTTATTTTAATGAAAAAAAAATTATTATTATTTTTTATTTAGTAGAAGTAGGGGTAATATTTTAATGAAAAATATTTTCTATTAAAATAAAGTTAATTTTTGTGGTCAATGAAAAATATTTTTCTGCGGCCCATTTTTTTTTGTTACTAAAAATCAGGAACTAATTTTTTGTGGTAGAGGAGAGGGAGCGGAGTAGTGGCGAAGGTGGTGGATAAGAGGTGATGGTGGTGGTGGTGGTGACAACGAAGGAGATTAGTGGTGAAGTTGTGGTAGTGGTAGAGGAGATGGAGTGGCGGTGGTGGAGGAGAGGTAATGATAGTAGTAGTGGCAGTAGTGGTGGTGGTGGTGGTAGTAGAGTGGTAGTGATGGTGGTAATAATATTAGTTGTAGAGGTGGAGTGGCAACAGTGGTAATAGTGGTGGTAGTGGAATGGCATTTGCAGTAGTGGTGAATGTGGTAGAGGAGATGGGTGATGAGAGAAAGGGATAAGTGTGAGACAAATAGAGAAGAGAGAGAGAAAGAGAGAGAGTGATAAATGTGCGAGAGAGAGAGAGAGAGAGAGAGAGAGAGAGAGAGAGAAAGTGGTTGCTAAAAGTGCATTTTCTTGTAGTGGATTAATTTATTTAAAATCAAAAAATTAGAAATTTTAGTTTGAGATATTGAAGAACCCACAAAACTTGTGGTTAGAAACTCCATTTTACTTGTACAATATATATATATATATATATATATAGATTTAATAAGAATTTATATTCATTTTAGATATTTTTTTAATATACAAATTATTTTTTAAATTTTTTTTATGAAAATAATTTAAAAATCTCATCAATAACCATAATGTATGGAAAAAGTTGAAAATGGTATAAGAATAGGTATGAGAGAAGTCAAAAAGGCTTATGGGTTGGGAGAAATCAATGAACGCTGAGGTTTTTTTTTTTTTTAAATCCAAAATTTAGAAAATTAAGATTGAGATATTGGAACTCCCACAAGGCATGTGAGTTAGAAATCCTTTTTTCCTTATATAATATATAGATAGATAGATAAATAAATTTAATAAGAATTTATGTTTGTTTTAGATATTTTTTTAATATACAAATTATTTTTTTAAACATTTTTTTATAAAAATAATTTAACAATCTCATCACCAACGATAGTGCATGGGAGAAGTTGAAAAAGATGTAGGAGTAGATATGGAAGAAGTCAAAAAGTGGGTTGAGAGAAGTCAATAAATGCTGAGTTTTTTTTTTAAATAAAAAATTTAGAAAATTAAGATTGGGATATTGGAGCTCCTACAAAGCTTGTAAGTTAAAAACTCCCATTTTCCTTATATAATAAATAGATATAGATAGATAGATAGATAGATAGATATAGATATGGCACATACCATTTATATGACACAAGGACCAAAGTACCGGGACAACTGTTGCAATTTTCCCTCATCTAAATTAAAGGGATTTAAAAAGTAAAAAAAAAAAAGAAAAAAAAATAATAATATTAAAAAATGTTCACTAAAAAAATATTGATTAAAAATTACAAATTAATTATTGAAAACTTCATACTAAACAAGGTAATGGTTTCTATTAATTTTGAAAATTAAAAAATTATTATTAATTTGTCCTCTGTTTTTTTCTCACAAAAAAAATAGCTACATTAATTATCTTGTTTTTTTTTTTTTGGTGGAAAAGGAGTTTTGACTTGCGATTTTTCTAAAATGGGTGTTTTAGATGGAAAGGGTTATACAAGAGGCACCTTCACTATGAGAAAGAATAGTCGGTTTTGCATGGACTTTTCAAGAATTTTTTTTTTTTTGTGTTTGTTCTTAATGCATTAAAGTATTATTATGAGGGATAATAATCATATGTGTTGGGACTTTTCAAGGAATTCATGTGTTGAATTTCAAATTTTTTTTTATGCTTGTTCTTAATGCATTAAAGTGTTATTATGAAGGTAAGACTTGGGGGTTGGTAGAAATTAATAAATGCTAAAAAAAAAAATTAAATCAAAAAATCAGGAAATTTGGATTGGGAGATTGGAACTCCCACAAGACTTGGGGTTAAAAATCCCCTTTTGCTTAATATATAGTATAGATAGATATAGATATAGATATTGATAGATATAGATATAGATATAGATATGGCACATACCATTTATATGACACAATGACCAAAGTACCGAGACAACTGCTGCAATTTTCCCTCATCTAAATTAAAGGGATTTAAAAAGTAAAAAAAAAAAAAAGAAAAAAAAAATAATATTAAAAATGTTCACTAAAAAAATATTGATTAAAAATTACAATTAATTATGTAACACTCATACTAAAAGAGATAATTGTTTTCTATTAGTTTGAAAATTAAAAAATTATTATTAACCTCTGTTTTTTTTTTCTCACAAAAAATAGCTACATTAATTTTTTTTTTATTATTTTTTTTTTTTTTGTGGAGAGGGGTTTTGACCTGCGATTTTTCTAAAATGGGTGTTCTAGACAGAAAGAGTAGAGTTGGTTCAGACAATAAGAAAAAGTGCTTATGCAAGAGGCGCCTTCACTATGAGAAAGAATAGTCGGTTTTGCATAGGATGCCTTCTTGGATAACAGTTTCAATACTGGCATGCATGAAGGGCTTAAGTGTGAGACATATGAGAGGGGCTTTAGTGCGAAAATAGAAGAAATAGTTTATAGAGTATCTTCTTGCTTCACGACTTCAATACTTGTGAGAGAGAAGTAAGCTCAAGTGCGAGAGAGAAATGAGGGTTTGTAGGAAGTGTCTTATTGGGTCACGACTTGAGTGTCCGTGCACGTGAAAATGAGTGATAAGGGTCAGAGTGTATCATTTGGGGTCACGGTTTCAGTGCTCCGAAATTCAAAATCATAGCATATTAATAAAGAGAAATAATTAGTGATAAAATATTTTTGTCTCCTTAAATACAAGAACAGAGAATTTATTATTGGTGACAAAATATTTTTGTCTTCCACAACATAACCTTATGAGACGAAAAATATATTCGTCGCGCAATCAATTAGAATTTATTAGTGTCGAAATATTTTCATCTCCCACAACTTATTCTTCCAAGAAAAAAATATATTTGTCGCCCATTTAATAGAAAGATGAAATGGCATCGTTTGCATGATGGAGTGTTTATTGGTGACAAAAATGTTCATCTCCAATGAACTAAAATAATTCGCGCCAATGCAAATGAAATTGGTGCATGAATTTTGCAGACGAAATTTTTTTTCGTCTCCTATACGTTTGAGAAAAATTAAAAATGACAAAATTAATATTTTGTCATCTTTGGGTTAAATTTTAAGACAAAAAAAAATTTCGTCACCAAATTTTGTCATAATAGCCTAGATTTCTTGTATTTTGTTTCCTTGTTTAATTATTATTATTATTTTTTTCTTTTTGTGGAGAGGGGTTTACTGTGAGAAAGAATAGTAGCTTTGCACAAAATGTCTTCTTGGATAATAATGTTTGCATACACAAACGGCTTAAATGTGAGAGAGAATAGAGGAGCTTTAGTGCGAATTAGAAGAGATGGTTTATAGAGATTGTTTTCTCGAGTCATAGCTTCAATACTTGTGAGAGAGGAGACTCAAGTGCGAGAGAGAAATGAGGGTTTGTAGAGGGTGTCTTTTCGGGTCACGACTTTAGTATTTGTGTGTGTGTGAAAGTAAGTGATTAAAGTAAGAGTGTCTCTTAGTTTTTTGACGACATTTTAATAAAGAGAAATAATTAGAGATAAAATATTTTCGTCTCAAACTCATATGTTCATTGCCTAATCAACAAAAATACAAAAACAACATTGTATAGGTATGGAGAATTTATTGGTGATGAAATATTTTCGTCTCCTTCAACTTAACCTTATGAGATGAAAATATATTCGTCGCGCAATCAATCAAAATGCAGTATGACACATGGAGAATTTATTAGTGACGAAATATTTTCGTCTCCCAATACATATCATTCCAAGACAAAAATATATTTGTCGCTAATTAACAAAAAGATAAAACAAGCATGAAGAGTTTATTGGTGACGAAATATTTTCATCTCTCATAACTTATCCTTCCCAGACAAAAAATATATTTGTCACCAAATAAATAAGAAAATGAAATGACATCATCTAATAAGTTTAGAATTTATTGGTGACGAATTACTTTTGTCGCAAAAAACTTAAAATTTTGTGACAAAAATGTTCGTCTCCAATGAGCTAAAATAATTGGCGCCAACAAGAAAAAAAAATTGGCGCCTCTTTTTTTTCTGACGAATTTATTTTTTCGTCTCCTATAATTTTGAGAAGAATTAAAAGAAACGACAAAAGTAATATTTGGTCATGTTTGGGTTACGTTCTAAAACGAAAATAAATTTTATCACCAAATTTTAAAAATTAATTATTGAAAACTCTCGAATGTGTTGGCTCGAATGCCCCGAAAGCGTGGGCTCACGCGGCATAACGCCCCAATCTCGCTCTCTATCCCTTTTCAGTGTTTTACCTCGCTCTCTCTCCTTTTTTAGTGTTATACCCAACTCTCTTCCTCATCTTGCTCTGTTCTTCATCGTTCTTCCGATTCATCTGCTCTTCCGGTTCATTTCGGAATCATTCGAGCGTATCACC